CAATGTCGTTAATGAAGAACAAGATAAACCGCGGCCCCAACACCGACCCTTGTGAAACCCCACACTCCACTTCAACTGGATCAGAAAACGAACCTCGAACTCAAACCTGAAGGCGCCACTGAAAGAGGAAGTTTCCCATCCATCCAAGGACAGGGTTTCCAACTCCGTACGCTTTCAGCTTTTGGAGAAGGATGCGTTGATCCATGCGGTCAAATGCTTTGGAAAAGTATAGGCAGATGACATCAATACCGGTCCCACTGTCGGCTATCTCGGTCCAACTGCCACGGGAAAGTAGTAGGTTGGTAGCACATGACGGATGTTAACTGAATCCGTGTTGCTTCGTTGCTATGAGTTTAGATCTTTCGAAGTACTCATAACAGCATCAGCTATGATTGATTCCTTCACCTTTGAGAGCACCGGGAAGAGCATCAATGGGCGATAGTTTGCTGGCTCTGAACCGCTACCACTTGTGAAAATCGGAGTAATGATGCCTTGCTTCCACCTGCTAGAGACCGCCTGTTTGTCCAGGCACCTTTGGAAAAATCTCGTTAGTGGTTCAGCTATCCTCCAAGCTGCCACCTGCAGCACTTTCGGGGGAACTTTGTCCACTCCGGGGGAACTATTGGTGCGTAACGACAGCGGCTTCCTCAAACTCGTCGCTGAAGTAAACGTCACGTGTGCAACTACTGGCTTCTAGGGGAATGGGACAGGTATGTTACAAGTGTTGGTAACACGTCGGGAAATTGAGGTATATTGTAGCCTTAGAACGTTGGCTGCATCCTCGGCGAGTTGAGCACATCCATCCGCTGCTATTAGTGGGGGAAGAACACGTATCACATTCCGGAGGCTGTTCACATGTCAGCACTCTTATTCATAAGGGAAGTAGCCACACTGACCATAGTAATTATCGTCCAGTAAGGCAACTTCATGTACTATCCAAAGTTATGGGATCAGTCATCGTAGATGCGTTGATGCAGTATCTGGAAGGCCACAACTTAAAAGCTCCAGAGCAACATGGCTTCCGTCAGAAGAGTTCGTGTACTGCCAACCTACAAATTTTTATGTACCATCTGGACTAAAGCTGTTGACGATGGAGGAGGATTCGTTGTCATCTACCTGGATTTCTCAAAAATGTTCTATCGCTTAGGCCGTCGAATTCTCCTTCACAAGCGCCGGAACTACGACATTCGCGACCCAATCCTGAGTACGGTAGGCAATTTTCTACACGAACGTCGGTTGGAGGTGAGAGTCCGAGGATCTCTGTCCGATGCAATTGATGAAGAGTGTGGTGTGCCACGTGGCTCGGTGCTTGGTTCTTCTCTATTCTTGGTGTTCATTAACGATTTGGCCAGATCAATTGCTTCCGATTTCCTATTTTTCGCGGATGCTATCAATATATGGCGATTGACTTAAGGACCGCACGACCATGAACGGCTCCAGTGCGATCATAACATGGTGTCGAACTGGGCATTTCCAAACGCTCAACCATACAACGTAGACAAACGTCGCGCTGTGCAATTACTCCCTAGACATGACTACATGTATTTGCTTTGGGCACACGGATTGCAGACCAGCTCCCAGGAAGGTGACCTTAGTGAGCTCATACAGAGAGACAGCAACTGTTTAAAACAGGTTGTGGTAGCTGTGAAAAGAGGCAGCCAGCACGTCGGCACGCAGGGATGGGCATTCTGGAGATTTGAACCATCAATCTTCCCTAGTATGCATAGTTCCTACGTGCACCCGCATGTTGAATACGCTATCCAAGCTTGACAACCTTGGTTGAAGCGCGACTTAGAGGCTTTAGCTGCACCACAACAAACAGCAACAAAGAATGTAAAGCGCATGCGCTATCACTATTACCACCGAAGGCTGAAGTTGTTGGGAATTTTCAGTGGAAGCTATCGAAGGCTGCGCGGCGATCTTATATTAACGTACATAATATTGAGTGACCCCAACCATAAATGACGCCATTTGTTGAAACTTAGCCACAACACGCAGCTCAGGGGTAACTGGTTGAAATTGAGGGAACAACATAGCCTTTTAGAGGATCGACGGAATTACATTTCCCTCGGTGTTTGCCAAAGCTGGAACGCACTCGCAGACTCACTTGCGTTTCCCCTACTTTGTACGTGTTCAGAAAACGATTGGATATTGCTATTAGCTCCCAGCACTTTGTTGCCTAAACTAAGCCATTTTGGATTACTTTAATTACGCCCTTCCACAGGATTTATCACGGGAATCCAAGAAGGCGGCGCATAAGTGAGCAACCATAAGTTACTTTTCTCACGCCTTACATCAACGACCACTGCAACAAGTGTATTCACTTCTGTATAGTTATACTCGGTTTTTGTTTTACAGTTATTTCTCAACGCATTTATCTCCGTAAACTCTGGCTAGATGGCTCTGTTGGGCGGAGCCTGGGATACTAGTCGGTAAGCAATAACACGTAAGACGTGTCAAGTACGACAGTATAGAAGTCGGAGGCAACTGAACCCAACGTATATTGTACAGGCTACAAGAATAAGAAGCGAATCAGACGGAGCGAGAAACGTGCAGCGATGAACTCACCAAAACGGTTTTGTGACAACGGATGTGCAGTCAGTTAAACAAATGGACGTTTCGAAGGTTAAAACAACCATAAAATCCAATGTTACAAGATACTGAAAGAGCATGTTTTCTGTTGCACTACAGCTCACATATATTTGGATTTCCTTGTACTCACCCCAAACATCCTACTGGACGTGTCAAACACTTGCTTCTAATCCGTGAGAAATCGTCGTTCATTGTTTAAATAAATTTTCCAATCTATCGGTCTCGGCCCATATGTATAGATACTGAAGTGAAAATGAATAAATATCTCCGTTTTTTACTACTCCTTTTTAAAACTTTATAATTTACAGAACATGTTTAGCCCAAATTAGATGCCATGTTCTATCACTAGGATTTCAGTTATAATGTTTTCATATCACCACACAATTGCTCCTCATACTTGGGCAAAAGAAAAACTAGGCTCCGTCCGTATACGGAGCTGTCTGTCAGTACGCCATGAATTATTCTGTGCTCATTCAAGGCTTTGAAGTGGACAAACAAGGTGATTAATAATACAACTCCTATTTCTGCCATCTACTTGGAATATGCCGTAAATGTTATACGAAGCAAATAAAAAATGTCTTCAAAGCGAAAAGGGCATGCCTCCGAGAATATATATTCATCTTATTAGTATCTAGGTAGCACCTGAATAGAGCGCGTGGTAGGGCTCAGCAAAATATTCACAACTGTTTCATAAACAGAGGCATCTTCGCTCGACAAATTGACCAATCTTCATCAGAAACACAACTCAAAAACGCATGGTAGCAGTAAACGTAGAATGACTAGTTCCAGATAAATCTCTAGCTGCAAACCTGGAGTAGGTGCTTGGCTCGGAGTAAATGCTGTCACGCTTGCCGGTGACGAGAGGTGTACACACCAGTGATGCTTAGACAGAGGATTTTTCACCAATAACAAGCGGCTATGAAAGAAAATTAGTCACTTTCGTCAGACGAAGTGAAGGATCCTCTCGTTTTAGTAGTGGAACGTTGTTCCGACTTGTGTCATGACCGTAGGTACCTCATCAGTACCCCCCAAACCGTTTACCGATGCAGTGGGACACGTGAATAGTGTGACATGACTCGTGTTCATCGGGAAGATACGCTGAATACAAACACCGTGCTGACCAGGTTTCGTGTAAAAGACGTTCTGTAATCACTACAAAGAGCGAGATTATCGTCACTCTTCACAACGCGCCCGGAACTCTATCGTGATGGTGAGGAGTTGCAGTTCCCCTAGTCAGTGAGGAATTTAAGTAAAAAACAGAGCCTTGATTAAGCTCGGTCACTTTATGTGAACGTAATACAGTCCAACCTGCTTTGGCGGCCACCTGTCTATGGAGACCAGTCAAAATCTTCTCCAAGTTCCTCTCCTATGAGTGATGTCTCTATGCATGCACCTGCCAATGGTAACCACCTGTCCAAATTGACTAATGTTTGTCGGTCCCTTGAGTGGTCGCCCTATACAGGTTTGACTGTGCTTACGATACTGGAGGAGGTATCCGATGTTACTTTCTGAGATGCTCATTGTCTCTCGTTATTTAATGCCGCCAAGTACAACTACCTGTATTCATCCCACCACACTGGACATATGGGCCAAATAACACACTTTCTAATTTATCTGGTAAGCGCTTCAAAGTAATTGTTAGATCACTGAAGTAATCGGTTCGAGGCAACGACATTCCAACTCCGAGTTTTGTCCCATATCCTGGTATGTACTTCCTATAGACAACCTGCTTAAAAAGTATTCGCCGATCCATGTAACCTAGTTCATGGTATTTCAGCTGATTGCGTAGCAAGCTCATTAACCGAACAAAAGTGCAGCTTCGTTTAGGTTAGCATGCGTACCTTCTGTTTCTCGATCATATCGCATCTGGTGGGTTTTTCGTAGGGACGCAATCCATGGTTTAGGAGTAACCATCATCAGCATTTTTCTCTTTATCTTCTTTAAAGCGCGTTTTGTATTAGTTTATACTAAGCTTCATCTGTTACAATTCTGTAGGCATGTTTTAAGTCAGCATATCACTCGTACTGAGTACATGAAACGCATTGCTGGCTCTACCTGGCATAAATCGTGTTTGTGTGAATGCCATCCAGAGCCAATAGATACTTAATCCATTTTTGACAACATCTATTTTTAATCTTCGTTTCACACTCAGTCCTTCCTACGAAATCTATAACGTCCTGCTTTTTAGATCGTATTAGGTCATTGTCTCATTCTCCAGCATATTGAGGGCTAAAGGATAGCCGGTTAGGGACAAAACCACCATGCGAGCCAACCAGTTGTACTACCAGGAACACAGTGATAGTAGTTACGATCGAAACACGTATACTACCGTAGAACAGCTAGTTCGATAAAATTGGGCCGATGCACGATATCGGTGCTTTCAAGTTATGTTTCTTTTATACTTTCAGACAAGAATTTAGCGTATGGATTCTGGTCAGATGGAAATATGCCCTGCAAGAACCTTGGGGAATTCTGTCGCAAATTGCCAATGGGACAGCGTTGTTGCGGAACAACAAGTTGTGACTTGTACGGCTTTTTTAAAGGTACATGCGTACGATGTATCCCAAGCGGAAGATTTTGCCTCCGATCTGGTGAATGTTGCAGCGGATCCTGTCGCTTTTTCCGCTGTTGTTCAGAATGCAAAAGTAAAATATAACAGTCTTTGGTGAGGAATTACTTGAGATCACACTACGTTCAGCGTTGGTTTAGACAGTTTCTCGTTAAAGTGCCGTGCTGGTCGGAATTTTTTCGTTGCTCCTGACTTTTCAAGTTTTCGGATTCCAATTTTTTTGCATGTCGACCTGGCTACACTCATTCCATCGGGCTCGATCAGGCCTTCCCATTGCACAAACGTACTAGAGGGTGCTATTAACGGATCAACGTCTAACGTTCGCTTCCAATTTTAGCTGAGTTTCAGGGCAGTCGTTCGCCTACAAGTGCATCACTTTCTACCTTCATCAAGATCCTTGGAGTTATCGGAAAGCCTATTGCGATGTTTACTCCAAGAGACCTAAACCAACCCTGTCGATAGCTGCATAAGGCGTCTAGAAGCAGTTACATCTTCGTACACTGCCTTCCTTGACCAAGAGTTCACACGCGGCATTGCGAATCGCGCTCTGGCGAACGCACGCAAATCTCTGTCGGGCACGATTTCTACGTGTGCGCTTATTGGAACTCGCGGCGTAACGTGACGCATCAGGCCACGGAGTTGACCTCAGAGCGGTCGATTACTGAAGGACAATCTATTCTTGGTGGAATCTGGACAATTGAGCGCACTTGCATCCGTTTGGTTTGTCTCGCTCGTTGCATCTGAAACAGTGGCATTTTTGTACCCGTGTAATTCCCGTGCATTTTAGATAGGTGTAAGCTCTAAAATCCTAGTCTGTATCCTCGGCGGCCCACCGATCGCTGTTTGCTTTGTCTCGATCCGTGCAACTGAAACTTCGCAGTTTGTTCTTTATTGTCTAATTCTTGTTCACATAAAATAGGTTTTCACAAGTCCTAAAACCGAGTGACTAATCAGTAAAAATGCTCGTTATCTCAGTCAAAACAAGAAACTCAAAGAACAGACAGGAAGCCACTGAAACGCTGGCAAAACATTCCGCTTATAGCCCGTCCATTAGCACCGAAAAAATGAAGGCTCATCATATAAGATGATGATAAAGCCAAAATCGCGCGTAAGAGTAAAAAAGCAATCTAATGCTTGTTCTCATAAGGTTTATCTGATACAGCATAGCGCAGTTAATGCAGAATCACCCTCTAAAGCGATTCAACCGAATGCTTCGCTTAAACTACAGCTGAAGGACTTGAAGCAAAGGTTTGAATCTCTTAACCCAGTCCTAGAGCAATTTGCTTAAGTATCTGTAACACTCCAGATACACCAAAAATGGAACACCGATCCCTTGGGAATTTTATACAACATGTTGAATTTAATGTTCCTGAGCGCATTAAACAATCCGGAAATGTAGTAGCATTTAAGTTACCAGAAATGTTATCGCTTGAGGCTATCTCCTCTGCAATGGCCAACGATTGTCATATTGAAAGATTGCAGTTTTCTTACGCGAGGCTGCGAAAGAGGCCGTCAAAGCAGGTCTGTCCAATACATTTAACTTTAAGACGAAACACTTGCTGAAATATTCATTTGTAGTAGGAGCGTATTATCCCTTAGGAATGATTATATATCGATGGTACTGAAACCACATTTGACAGCACTACAAAGGGAGAGTAAAAATGCCTGTTTCCGACAAAAAGCTTGTGACCGATTTGTTCCACTACCCACGGAAACTCGATAACTTCCCCACCTGGTCGATCTAGATGACACTTTGACTATAAATGAAATAACTCTAACGTTGAAATCAAATACCAACTGTCGTAAAAATATCGCTTCTGACTTCACTTCGTTTCACATCAGCCCACCATGACTGCGTAACTCGTATCCGAACATGCAAGAAAGTTTCATTGCGCGAACGACTAATTTTATTCACTTTTTGTCGTTCACCAACCAAGTGCATAGACGCTCTGGTACGAAACTGAAAACCTCCTCTCCAAAAAGCTGTGCACCTATAGTAGATAAAACACTGCGGAACAGCCATGTTGTTAAGAACACTGGTAGCAAAACCTCATGTGGCATCTATACGGGTGCTCCTAAACACAATAAAAGTACTGCTAGTTTATACGTTCAAGCAAACGTTGTCATCACTGGAATCCTGCAAGCAATCGACATATAACCAACCACGCAGCACTTGAATATGCAGCCTATGCGCTCCATAACATGTGAGCCAGTTCCTAGTGAAATTCACGTAACTGAGAGAAATTGGCACAACCAAAGTCCGCGCAAACTTCCTCAACATGTAAATAACCTTAACAGGCAGGTAGGTTATATGCAACAGCCAGCAAACTGTAATCTCACAGTGGGTCGAAATTTTCCAAGCATTTCGCCCTTCCGACTTTTTTCGGGGGTCCAGTGCGTCTTACTCACCACACCCCAAAACAATAAAAAATAATAAATAATACTAAAAGTAATAATAATAATACCTATATTTCTCTTGATGAAAGAAACTGTGTCTATAGCGGCACAGATCAATTTGTACAGAAGCATCCATGCTGTTGTATGGGTGAGAACCATAGGTGATTGGCATATGCGTTTCATGTATTAACATTCTGGCGGATGCTTGAGGCCGAAACCTAGTTATGAAAACATTGGTGTTTATTTGTTTTTGGGCCCCGCTTGGAATAGTACATTGAAAGATTTTTCCCATGTTACTACAGATGTTATGGTAGTTAGACCAAAGTAATTGGCGAGTCTGCTTCCAAATGTTGCCACATTATCACATAAACTGAGGGTTATTGGTAGTTTATTTCACAGGTAGCTATATCTGACCAGAAATAAATTAGAGCGGACATTAGTTCTAGCCTTCGGTATATTCAGTGTAAAATCTTTGTTGCGAAGCACTCGAGTTGAGCAATGTTGTAAATTGTGTGTAGGCAGGTTGGAATAGGTCATTTCGTGTAGCACGTTGAAAAGCAGCAACAAGTTGTGATTAAATCGTCGAATTCAAAGTGGTTTGAGATGAAGTTCACTGCAACGTTCTCGATAACTCATAGCAGAGTGTATACCAATCAGATGTTTAGTAAATGACTTCTGCAGTTGCTCCACAGCAATTCTCACTCTTTCTCAACTTTCCGTATATTATGCTGCAGTATTCAAGGATGGGGCGAGTGAATAGCTCTAAAAGCTCAAATCTAGCACGAGTTGTGTGTATTTTGTTTGATATATTGAACATAGACTGTCTGGCACCTGCTACTTGGCATTGCGCCTGTTCGAAGCAATTGAAGGTAGACGAGTACCTACTACCTAGATCAAGCGTGAACAACTGTGTAGGGACGCGTTCATTGTTTAGGGTGATAGATCCTTTGGGGATGCAGCAGCCGTAAGACATGATGCTTGATTTCTTAGCCGGGAGGTTCATAACCCATGTACAACACCATGACTCAAGAGAATGTAAGTCATCTTGAATGAGCAGTAGTGCCCCGTGAAGCTCGTCAGGCCGAAGCTTATAGACGATTTTGATATCGTCAGCAAATAAAGATGACAATGAACAATGATTTATCACGGGATAAAAGCAAGTGCTTGACACGTCCCGTAGGATGGTTGCGGTGAATATGATGAAATCAAACTATATCTGAGACATTTACCGAACGTCTGCCTAGACGAATACTTCGATAAATTACGTCAGTGTAAAATGTAAAATAAAATCGAGCGTAAACGTTCAGAAAGACACTGGGGTGCAGTGATCGTTGATGTAAGACGTGAAGAAAGTAAAATATGGTCGCTCACTTGGATACATTTGATACATAAATCCTGTTGAAAAGCATGTTTGGCGTAATCCACAATAGGGGAGTTTAGGTAACAAAATGCTGGGAGCTAAGAGCAACATCTAATCGTTTTTTGAACACGTCCAAGGTAGGAGAGCATACAACTGAATCTGGGAATGCATTCCAGGGTTGGCAAACCCGAAGGGAAAAGTAATTCCGTCGACACTCTAAACGGCTACATTGTTTCTTCAAATTTATGCAGTTACCTCTGAGCTGCGTGTTGTGGCTAAGTTTCAGCAAATGGCGGCATACGTGGTTGGGGTCATTCAGTATCTGATACGCTAATATGAGATCACCTCGCAGCCTTCGATGGCGTCCACTGAAAATTCCCAACAACTTCGGTGGTAAGAGTGATAGCGCATGCGCTTTACGTTCTTTGTTGCTCTTCGTTGAGGTGCCGCTAACGCCTCTAGGTCGCGCTGGAACCAAGGTTGTCAAGCTTGGATAGCGTATTCGACATGCGGGCGCACGTAGGAACAGTGTATACTCGAGCAGATTGACGGGTCAAATCTCCCGTACCAGGTTTTACAGATTTGGTGATGTCATTGATGTAGAGCAAAAAGAGTGAGAGACCGAGCACGCTTCCTTGAGTGACTCCACTGGTGATTGAGCGTGGGGAAGAATGATAGTCACCTAAAGTGACTACATGATTACGATCTCTCAGGTATGATGATAACCAACCTAGGAATTGGTCCCGGATCTCAGTGTTCTCTAACTTTTGTAACAGTCGCTTGTGCCGTACTCGGTCGAACGATTGGTGTATGTCATGAAACTGGATTACTACTGCACAGTATATGCCCTCCGTATCAACCACCTCCACTCCACTCTCCATATACTACCTTGTTGGGGTTCTGTGTCTGCAATAGTGTAGACAACCCAACCCACTTACTATTAGGTTATTCTCGTCCATTATTAAATAAAATGCACTTACTGTGTCATATTCTTCACCTTTCTCCTCCTGTTATAGTACTAATAACAGAAATTTGATGTTCAGTGGAGATGTCAGATATATTGTTCGGGATACTTGCTAATTACATCTCCAACATTGACGGTCTTTATGGTAAAGGTGGTGGCTGTATAGTTTACGTCAAACACATATGCTTGGTTCTTCCTTTGGATGTACCACACCTACGGAAACTTCCTGATTCGGTGTGGATTACCATTTCCATTAATCCAACAAATCTTTTAGCAGATTGCAGTTACAGTCCCCATCGTCTGCATTCACCGTAGCCGATGACTTAATAGACACTTTATTGCGGATCTCTCACACATTAATAAAATAATTGCTGGGGATTTTGATATGCCCGAAATCCAGTGGTCCTTTAAAAATGAACCACAAAAACTTAAAGCTTTTATGTCTAATCTTGGTCGACTGGGATGGGTACAGCAAGTCAAAATTCTACTAGGTTTGGTAACACATTTGATCTAATATTTACTATGGGATGTTCACATGTGTCCACATACATCAGTGACAGATTGCCGGATAGTGATCATAACACCGTTGGTTGTTCTTTCCAACTTCATTCTAAACCGACAGAACCAGTGCTCAAATACCGCCCATTCTTTTCTGTGAATTGGTCAGTTTTCTCGGACCTTATAAGATCTTCAAATTGGGATCCATTTTTCCTAGCATAGAATGTACACTTTGCTTGTGATGAGTTCTACCACTGTATTCAGCTTTATGTTCGATTTGTGGCTTCAGAACGTACTATGAAGTTGAAAAGGACTGCTGCACCTGCAGACATCCTAAAAAAGGTAGCCACTAAACTTCATAAAATAAAGAAAAAGTTAAGAAAAACAAACGATTTTGCTCTGCTGATGCTCCACACCAGAATGCTAACAGGGTTATACCAAGATCATCGCAAAATGCTATGCTCTGAGGAGGTAATGGTCCTGAAGGGCGCCAAGCTGGTAGGCTGCATCTCAAAACTTTTGGACCGTGAGCAAAATAGAAAATCAGGTTGTATTAACTCGATTAGAAACTCTGATGAAACTGCCATAACCGATCGTGCA